GTCAAGATGGAAAGAATGTTCGCAATAGCGATTATGAATTCTGGATTTGCCAAGATCAATTAATATTGGCTGCAATCATAGCATCTATGAGTTTTTCAGCGATGCACATTGTTTCATCTGCAAAAACATCAGATGATGCATAGGTAAGGCTTCAAACCTCGTTTGTGAATCAGTTTGCAACGAGGATTCTTTCTCTTCGTGAGAAATTATCCAATTTGAAATGTGAAACAAAATCTATTTCTGAGTATTTGCAGATTGTTAAAACCGTTTTTGAAGATTTAGCTTTGTTTGGGAGTCCTGTATCAACTGTTGATTTTGTGATTTTAAGGATATTGCAGTAGCAGTCCGTGCAAGAGATACCATGATTTCTTTCGAAGAACTTGAGGATAAGCTCCTCTCTCATGAGTTGTACCTTAAGCGAACAGAACCCTCCTTTGATTCGGTTCCAGTCACTGCAAATAATGTTCGAAGAGGGACTTTTAATCGAAGGAATGATAATCAAGGTTACAGCTCAGATGCTTCTCAAGGGTTTCAGTCATCACGTGATTCCAATTCTCGTTCTATTCAGTCTAAAAATATAACAGGTGGTTCGAAGATAGAGTGTCAAATTTTTGAACGACCGGGTCATAGTGCTCGTAAATGCTTCCATGCTAAAGATTTCTTCAAGAACGATTTTCCCTGACCTCGTGCAAATCATGTTAGTTTTACTAGTTCACAAGACAACAGCTGGGTTCTTGATACAGGAGCATCTCACCATGTGACTAATGATTTGCAGAATTTGTCTTTGCACACTCTGTATGATGGCCTTGATGAGTTACATTTAACTGATGGATCAGGTTTGCATATCACACATGTTGGTTCTAAAGTTCTTTCTTTTCCATTAAAATCATGTTCACTTAAGAAAATGTTTTGTGTGTTCCTAAGTCTAAAGAAAATCTTGTCTCCGTTTTTGAGTTTTGTCTTGCTAACAATGTGTCGATTGAATTTTTCTATTATTGTTTTCTTGTGAAGGATCAACTCACGGGGGAGATAATCACAAGGGTGCAAATTAAGAATTCCTTGTATCATCTTTTATCCTTATCAAAGAATCGCTCTACTTCGTCTCGTCCTACAGCTTGTCTTAGTGTTCATGCTTTGTCGTTGTTTTGGCATCAACGCTTGGGTCATCCAGCCTCAAAAATTTCTAGTTATGTTTTATCTAAATTCCAGTTACCTGTTTCATCAAATGAGAGTTTTAGTTGCAATTCATGTCATTGTAATAAGAGTCACAGACTCGCGTTTGGAACATCGTCTTTAAAAAGTACTTGTCCTTTAGAGTTATTGTATTCAGACTTATAGGGGCCTGCTTCCGTTGAATCTATTGATGGTTTTAAGTATTACTTGATTTTTGTGGATCATTTTACAAAATACATATGGTTTTATCCATTGAAATCTAAGTCTGGAGTTTCTTTAATTTTCCTTACATTCCAAAAACTTATCGAGAGCAAATTTTCTTCAAAAATTATTTCAGTTTATACCGATGGGGGAGGGGAATTCATTGCTTTAAAATCAATCTTTCGGGCTAAAGGTATTACTCATCTTCAAACACCTCCACATGCTCAGCAACATAATGGTATTGCTAAGCATCGTCATAGACATCTTGTTGAAACAGGGTTAACTCTTCTTCATTCTGTGTCTTTACCGTCCAAATTCTGGTCGTACACCTTTCAAGCAACGACCTATTTAATAAATAGGTTGCCAACTCCAATTCTTAATTATTCCTCACTATACGTTAAGCTTTTTACTCAGCAGCCAAATTACTCTAGTTTACGTGTTTTCGGATGCCTATGTTATCCATGTTCAAACCCTACACTAAGAATAAGTTTGATGCAAAATCAAAACCATGTATCTTTCTAGGGTATTTTTTGAGTTAGAGCGCTTATTTATGTTTCGATTTTAATCAAGGTCGAGTCTACGTGTCACGTCATGTTGTGTTTAACGAAAGTGAGTTTCCAGGTCAAAGTAACTCGTTGCAAGTAGTATCTAATCCAAACTCTTGGTACGATTATCAAAACGATAGCGATAATCTTCCTTCAATAGAGGTTACGTTTCATCCTTCCAATTCAAATACAAATCATTCGAGTCCTCCTGTTGTCTCCACTTTGATTGAGTCGTCCAATATTCCAGTTGTGTCTTCATCTTCTACTGCATCGGAATCAACTTTCAAGTCCTTCAAAATCTACAATCTGTTAGTGTTAGAGTCATCGTCTGTTGCTTCAGTTCCAACTGTGCGTACTCATCCCATGCACTCAAGGTCACAAAACAACATCTTCAAGCCGAAAATAATTCATAAAGCTACTAAACATCCTTTACCTTCTTCTGTTGAACCAACATGTGTGTCACAAGCCTTGAGTGTTCCTGAATGGCGATCAGCCATGTCTTCAGAGTATAATGCTTTAATTACTAATGGTATTTGGCTTTTGGTTCCTCCGGACAATAATCAGAATTTGATTGGTTGCAAGTGGGTCTTCCCCGTGAAGAAAAATACAGATGGTTCAGTTGCTAAATATAAAGCATACTTAGTTGTGAAAGGTTATAGTTAGAGACCGGGGGTGGATTATAGAGATATGTTTAGTCCAGTCTTGAAACCCGCTACTATTCGTATCATGCTCACGCTTGCTGTTACAAATCAGTGGGATGTTTGTCGATTGGACGTTAATAACGCCTTTTTACATGGTCCTTTGCAGGAAGAAGTTTTTATGAGGCAGCCTCTTGGGTTTATTGATACGGCTAAACCCAAGTATGTTTGTAAGCTTGTAAAGGTGTTGGATGGTCTTCGTCAAGCTCCAAGGGCTTGGTACCAGGCTCTACGAGATTATACCTGGCAATTCGATTTATTCAATCTAAATGTGACCATTCACTGTTTATATTTCGCAAGGATGATGTGGTATGTTTCTTTTTGGTATATGTTGATCATTTACTTCTTACAAGGAGTTGTAAATCTTTCATTAAATCATTTGTCAGTGAGCTTGCAGCACCATTCTCTTTGAAAGAACCACAATCACTCAACTTGTTCTTGGGTATTGATATACATACCAATTCAGCAGTAATGTTCTTATCACAGCATCATTATATTAGCAAATTACTAGTTGCTACTAAGATGGATGGTGCAAAGCTTGTGTGAACTCCTTTTGCAACAATAACTAATCTAGTTAAAAATACAAATTTAGATTCGGTTGTTCATGCTACTGGGTTTAGAAAGCTTGTTGGTACATTACAGTACTTGACATGGACTCGTCTTGATATTTGTTTTTGGGTTAACAAGCTATCTCAGTATATGCATAGTCCAACAGCAGCTCATTAGGATGCATTAAAGCGGTTGTTACGTTATCTGAAGTCTACTATTGACCACGGTATCTTAATCACTCCACAGTCTTCTCTTGATTTTCATGCTTTTTCAAACGTCGATTGGGCAGGTGATCCTACAGACAGATTTTCAACCACTGGATTTATACTTTATATTGGTTCAGTCCCTATTTCATGGTCCTCTAGAAAGCAAAAGTCAGTTGCCAGGTCATCAACAGAAGCAGAATACCGAGCTGTGGCTGCTGCAGCATCTGAAATAGTGTGGGTTCGATCATTATTGTATGAGCTTGGTTATTCGATATCATCAATCCTATATCCGACACTTTACTATGACAATGTGTCTGCAACTTATGCTTGTCAAAATCCAGTGTACCATTCTAGAATGAAGCACATAGAAATTGACATTCACTTTGTGCGAGATTTAGTTCAGAAGAAGAAATTACGCATGGCATATATATCATCAAAAGACTAGTTAGCTGATCTTCTTACCAAACCATTGACTAAATCGATTTTCATATCAAACAAGTTCAAAATTGGTGTTCGAAGTGGCACCCCAATCTTGCGGGGGAGTGTTAAGCAATATGATAAGTCTTGAGTTTGAATTTGTAATTGCCGTGTATATTGATAAGTGTACAGCTATATGATAATATCTTTGTAACTGAATGTATTTACAAACCTCTTATTTAAAGAGAGTTAATCATTAATTGAAATACAATTTCAAACCCTAATTATTCTCTCTACTCTTTTATTTGGTGACTCGATTGCCGATTCAAGGATCAAAATCTTCAAAAAACCAGAGTTCAAGCTTTTGTATTTGCTCTCTTTGAACTATAATTGAGTTAGAATCTGTTGAATCACCTGAACCTCCTCTAAATGAATGATCTTCAACAACATGATACCATGAGATATTGGTATCATCCAATTGCAATCTGAGTTAATTCACTTCACCAACTCAGAAACCCACCTAACATCTGGTGCTGAAGTGGTCAAGTTAAACCGATTCAACAGTTTTCCTTACTAAGTTTCGCTTATAACTTTTCTCTCAAATCCCTTCTAAATTTTACCCTCTCCATTGCAGCTCTTCCTCGAGGGTTGAGTCCCAGAGGTCTACCTGATGTAGTTCGACCCGAGTTAGAGTTGATAGGAGGCTACAAAAATTAGATCCGAGTGAAGACCAACAGTGGAGACATAGGTAGTGAGTTTAACAAACGTTTGGAAAAGAGTTGTGTTCCCTTCCAATTCAATGGAGCAATTAACCTAGAGTATTATCGTCTTTTCTTAAATAATTTTAAGAATATTTTCATCTTTTCACACATTTTAACAGAAAAATGAGGAAAAAATGGATAGAAGGACTAAATAGTTTAACGGAATTAAACCTCAGGAACTCTTAATTGATATTGCTAAAATACGAGGACCGAATTAGTTAGTTTGGTCAAACCTCATGGACTAATTAATTATTTTCCCAATAACATTTTAAGTTTCAAAATCCAATTTCCAATTTCCTCAATTTTCTTTCTCCACACCCTAATTATAGTTAATCCATGCATAGATGAAGTCACAGCTTTTTTCTCTAAACTCCACAAAAATTAACAAACTAGATAGAATTTATCAAATTTTCTTCAAACAAGATTAATTCATGAACAAAACCCCAAATTTCACATCTCCCTTCACCACACATTACAACATTTTCTTTGAAACACACAATTTAAAAACTAACATAGACAGTAAACTCCAACAAGGTCTCAGCACCATCAGTCTCATGTTGATTGTTAACAGGAAAAGTCTTAACAATAGCATAACCCTGAGCATTAACATACTTGCCAGTGCCACCCATAATGGCCAGTTGAGATTCCGATACTGCGGTCCGGTGAACCCCAAAAAAGGTAAGACTATCTTCAAAGTGACCAGATTGAAACAAAGTTGTGAATGCCATAGTTTGACTAGTACCATCAACGGAACTAGCAACATAAAACCCTTGAGCCCTGCCCACAAATCCTGAGCTCAGATCATGCCCTTCAGTTAGTTCGTCATCGATGACCGTTATTGTTCCAAACATTAACTGTTGAAGGGTGGAAGGTAGTTTATCTCCATTGACAATTGGAACATTGAATGCATTATTATTGATTAGGACATTATTACCATTGTTTTGTACTACGTTTGCTGTTGCACCACTTAGGCCTGTAAGGAATGGTAAGTTATTGTTGTTAATAAGACCATTGTTGTTGTTGTTTTGTGGGACTCCATTGTTAATTGGAAGCACTGCACCATTAGGTTTGGCAAATGGAACCCTACCATTTACCGCCGGATTGCTGACTATGCCAGTTACTGCTCTGGCTGTAGGATTTGAGCCACCAAGAATGTCATGCATAAAAAATGTTAAGGTATGACCACCAAGGTTGGCTGTTGTGGCTGTATTAGTGGGGTTGGCTGTTGTGGCAGTACTTGTTGGGTTGGATGTTGTGGCAGTATTAGTGGCTGCAGCCACCGGAGGCACCACCGGAGCCACTGGTTCATCTCCTTCGAGCGTCTGAGCTGAGGTGGTGATTGCAACGGTGAGGGTGAGGAAGAGAAAATAGGCTATGGCCTCGTTTTTGAAAGAAAGAAAGAAATGGGTATCCATGAAACAGAGATTTAAGAGTTTTCAAAAAAGGGTAAAGATTATCCTTTGTGTTTTGGTGTTTTAGTGATGCATTGAGGGTGTTTGAGTTTATGTATATATAGTTTTTAGTCGTGAAATGGAGTTGATGAATGGAGTTGGTAGAGTTATAATTTTCAGTGTTTTGGTTGGGAATGAACACAATCATTTGTTTTCAGGTGAGGAAAGTGGAATTTAAAAAGAAAATGGTTAGGGCAGGAGTTTAAGGTTTAGCTCACCTAAACAAAATCCATGTATCCTTTCTATTTGCAGCTAAGATTAGGGACCATTTGCAGCAAATATGCTTATTAGGCGAGTTAAGCGCACACAATGAATTGGCTAGACTACCTATATGCAATTTCAAAATGATATCAAAACCAAAGAAGAGATTATAGTTTAGGTTTCTTTTTGGTTAGATTATAGTTTAGATTTCTCGAATTTGAATTCTCTCGATCAAAAATACTCAATTGGATGAATTTCAGGGAGAGCTATCCCTGTTGTTTATCCCCCAGTGTTATATATATATATAAAGAGAATAGATTATAGGGAAATATCAATTTATCCAATGAAAAGTGAATGGTATGGTTTCAAGACAAAATTACTTTGCCATTGTTCAAAATATTTGTCTGCTTTGTTCACTGCTAAGTTTACACTTTGCAACTGCATGTCACCTGATATTACTTGTACAGATAATACACAAACTGGCTTTTTTTTTTTTTTTTTTTTAATACGACAAACCTGGCTTTATTTTTATTTTTATATTTTTCAAATATTCCAATTAATTAAACAACAAACAATATGTCTCTCCAACACATTTCAAACCTGACTCGATCAAAACTTTCTATTTAACTACATATCTATATCTGCCCTGGGTGGTTCAGCACAAAAGAAAAAGAGGAAAAATTGGAATAAAGATAAGGGAGTGACAAGAAACAAACACTATCACTTTCTCCTTTTTAATCTTGTGTTCTCTTTTTTTTTTTTTTTTTTTTCATTTCATTAATTTAAACAACACGAATATGTCTCTCCAACAATTTCAAACCTGACTCGATCAAAACTTTCCTATTTATACATATCTATCTCCTGTGGTTCAAAAAAAAGAAAAAAAAAATGAATAAATAAGTGTGACAAGAACAAACACTCTCTTTCTCTTTCTTATCTTGTGTTCTCTCTCTTTTTTTTTTTTTTCCAGTAGCTAAAAGAATAATAATAATAATAATAAACAAAAATCTCTCTTTCTATCTAATGTAGCTCAGATAATATATCAAAAAAGAAAAAGAAAATCTAACAGAAAATCTCCATGCTAACATCTGCAACCAGTTCCTCAATCAAAGAATTCTCTATTTCTCTACCGACTTCTCGAATATCATCTCCTAACTCCAACCATCCATCATCTTTTCCCAGAATCTTCTCAGATTCTTTGCTTGCTTCCTTTTCCTGGCAAACAAGTAACATCCACATCTCGTCCTCAATAGTGTCCTGGCCATGACTAAAAGTAACCCTTCTTGCCACAGGTTCTCTACATGTCAGCACACCCATTGATGGCTGCAAAATCTCTGCTAGCCCGGAATTTATGCGATCAAATAGAAGCCTTCTCTCTGATCTCTTCCAAGATATTTGCTCACCATACTTCTTCTCCAAGGTCTCAAAGATAGAAAAACTGATTGGGCATTCTTGAGAATGCCATGTATCAAAACCCACAGGCAAGTTTTTATTTTGAATACCTGCCTCAGTTAATACATCAACCAGATAGGAGAAATCCCTACTCTCTTCCACTTTGAATGAACTAATTGGACCTTCTTCTACTTTGAATGAACTCATTAGACATTCATTTTCTTCAGTATCATTTATAGATCCTTCCCCGATATCCTCGTTGTCACTAGATACTGCCATACTAGATCCTTCCGAGTATGATTCTGCTGTCTCTGATTTTAGAAGTTCAAGTTGCCTATGTAACCCTACCAAAAAAAAGGGATGTTAAAAGAAGTACACACACATACAAAAGGGAAAAACATGGAAGAAAATGAATATGTATAAAGTTTAAAAGAAGCAGCACTAATTTACTAACCATTTAAATAAGCATTCACACTCTTAAAACCGTCAGAGCTAGATGACATCTGTTTCCTGTACAATGAATCCAGTACTGAATTTGGACTAGGTTGATAAGCCTCGTCAAAGCTCATCAGCGACTCTGGATCTGTGCCAGAGAATTGTGAAGAAACAGACTCCATTTCAAAGATTCCACTGGACATTTCCTGCAAAATCAGCAAACAATTACCTATAAGGAAGAAACACAAACTTTTCAGACAAATACGAAAAAGATAATTCAAAGTACTAAAAATGATAAGAAGGCTTAAACTTCAGAAGAAGCAAATTGATATTTGCTTTCAGGAAAAAAAATAATAGAGCAGAACTATTTGATCTCTCTCTCTCTCTCTCTCTCTTGCTGTTTCTTCTTTCCTTTACAGTAATAACATGATAGAAACTTCTTGCCTACACCTGGTATGTATTATCATTCTTTTACCCAATGCATGGTCAGAAATACTCTCGTTTGAACCAAAACACTGTTTGTGATTGGTTTAGTGTATAGGTGAGCCCATACTCTGGGTGTAAGTAAGACTTTCCCTAAAATAGCTTACTGAAAAATAGACAGAAAGACAGAGAGAGACAAAAACAAGCTTAGTTTCATATGCACATACAACGAGTTTTTACCTCTTGCTAAATCTTAAATTTCATGATAGTTAATCTATATCTATCATTATTCTTCACAACACAATGCATTAAAAACATAAAAAAGGTAAGAAATTCAAATCAACCAAAATGCCTGCCTGTATTTTAGTCACCCAAGTCCCAGAAAAACAGTCACCTCCAAACTTCTGGCTGTATGCATTTTGTATCCAGAAAATAGTCAAGTGTGTGTAAGACAATGAGATGATGATAAATACACCAACTATAACATATAGATGACCTATCCATAATTTTGATGGTTAATAACACTATCTCCACAGGCCTCCACTAAACACTTTCTATCTCAGATATATTACATGCCAAGGTGGCCAAATTATTGAAAATTATCACACAGCATTAATAAATTTTTATGTTACTAAGCCATTACAAATTTTATGTAAATGGGCGTATGTTTCCATCTGTCATTTTGTGTGGGTGGGTCAAACTAAAGAAAAATTTTATTGAATCCCATAGGATCTCCCCTTGTCAGATTAACCGTCCTAGATTTCATTTGGCTCAGGCCCACTTTAGTAAAGTTCGGAATAGGAACCACCTAGCCTAAGCCTGTGCCTTTGCATTGGCTGAACATTGGTGGAAATGGGAAATTTACCGCACCCGCTACAGCATTGGTTTGAAAGACCGAACATCTTCAGCAGCAATCATTAAACTAGCAAGCAAGTAGTTGAAATTGTGCTTGCCAAAAATAAAAAAAATAGAATAGAAGACACCCAATTTTCTCTTGATATGTGCAAACGAAAAACAAGATTCCTTTATATCAATTATATTTCATGTGCAAGATGCAACAAACCTGTCGAATTGAAGAATCTTTGATTTGAGAAGGAGAATCCTCCTCATTTGCTGATGAGCTGCAGTTTCTTAAATCTAGTTGTTCCTCCTCATGATTTGAAGGGGACATCTTTACAACATAAGTCTCCTCATCAACCTCCATGCTGCAGTTTCTTAATTCTAGTTGTTCCTCGTCAGACAGATCCTCTTCCCGGCCTTGATTCTTGTGCCTGTCTGAATGCTTCTTCAGTTTGTGTTCTAGTTCCTTCTGAATCACATAATCATCTTCTCCTAAGTAACTGTTTTCTGATTCCAAGTAGGGAATAGCTTGAGATTTTTCAAAGCTGAAGTCTGAGCAGAAACATTCTGATCCATCTCTCTGGTTAAAATCTTCCTCCCTTGACTTCTTTTGAGCATTTTCAAGAGATTCATGGTTGGTCCTGGTATTAGGAATTGCAGCTGCTTTAAAGCTTGGAAGAAGGGATCTGTATCTTGTTAAGTTTCTGACACTGCTGATACCTGAAGGTCTAGCAAAGTTCACATTTCCATTGTCAGGAACCACTTGCTTGCCCGGACCAAACTTACTAGGCTTGTCAGGATTGCACAAACCAGCCAGTTCAACTTGTTGAAACCTTTTCGTTGTCCTCCATCTTTCAGAGATTTGCTTCTTGGCTTCCCTGGCTGCATGTGATCCATCTGAACAGCAAAATTGACTCTTCCTACTAGATGAAAGTGACTCAGATTCATTTGCAAATAGGCCACTACCACTATTTTCAGAACTTGGTTCATCTGTAGGCACACTACTAATATCATGCACCATTTTCCTAGTAATTTCCCTTGAAAATCTAGACCGCCGAACAGGTTTCAGACCATTTCCCAATGCACCATCTGCCTTTCCATGATTTGGTTTCAAAAGAACAATATTGGTAGTGGGACGACATGCTTTGTTATTTGACTTGAATTTTGAACTCAGAAACTTATTGATGTGATCAATGTGAGGTTCTCCAGAAGAAAATTTCCCAAAAATATTCTGAACATTCTTTAGTGAGTCAACATACCCTAGTTCACTTCTCCTCCTAAATTTCCTGCACAGTCTAATGTGTCTACATTCAGAAGCATATGATGACTGTGAGACTGTAAGGTACTCCAACTTCAAGTTAGAATCAACATCGGTTGGCTCACTGGGTTTCTTGGTAAACTCTAAATTTGGTTTCTGGAGGTATTTTTGAATATTATCAATTTGAACTTTCTTATCCCCTGAAACATGATTTGGTTCTATAACTTCTGTCTTGGCCTCTGATGAACTGGAGCGAACTTTCCTTTTTTGAAGTGGCATGCTATGGTGCTTTCTCCTCAATGTTTCTAATACTTGGAAGATAGTATTACATTCATCCTTCTCTTCAATACTCAACCTAAATGAATCACGTTCTGAGCATTTCTCTCTAACACCAAACAACACAACTCTACGTAGATAATTCTCAGAGTATACTCTAGGTTTCTTTTGAACAGGCTGCTGAGTTGAAATTTCTTCAAATCCCATTAATCTTGCCATAACACTGGGTACAGGCTGTTTAGATTCCCTCTTTGCCGACATTTCTCCAGCAACTTTAGGCAACTACTCTGAAAATCTCAAACACTCCCTAGAAAATACAATGGCATACCTGCATCAAATCAAAGAAAAATGCCATTTGAAGAAGGAAATTAGAAATTATTCGTATATTCCAACTCATCAAAACTTTCCCAGTTTTCCTTCTTCAAGCTATTTGCCATTTATGCAAAATTAGGCAGAAAGAACACTGAAAAGCCAGATGACAATAAGTTACTTGCTCTATTTTCCTAAGTGATTGTCCTATATTAATTAACTAATTTAGAATGCCAAATCTGAAAGAATTCTAAGGAATGCAGCCTTTCCTGCATTCCTGGAAATGATTCTATGTCATTTCAAGAAATATGTATAAAGGACCGGTATTGGCAGAAAAATAAATTAAAGAAGAAATTTACGGAAAAAAAATAAAGCGAATAACAAGAGATTAAATGGCATATAAAACAAAAAAAGTAACTATAAACACAATCATTCTGGAAACATCATAGCCTAAACATTAAAAAAGAGAGCGAAGAAAGATAAACAAGCTTGAAATCTAAGCCTAATAAAACATCCTCCATTTCTTTTTCTTTTGCTAATAAGCCTAAAAAAAAGTTGGATTTGCTTTTGAAAAAGCTCCAGTTCCATGCACTAAGAACAAAGTTGCCTAGACCATACCCATAAACATAGAAAAGAATAAACAAATGGAAAAAATTAAAAATTAAAAAATAAATATGGGCATAGAAAAGGTAGGAAACTGCAATTGAATCAAACCTGAATCCAAAAAGCAGTTTCCAGAAACCCCATAAATGCTAAACCACGTTAAATGCAAAAGCAGGAAAAGTTACAGGCAATTTTGGCAAGCAATAATTAGAACAACATAGAAACAAGTGTAAAGCGAGCATGGCACCCATATCATCATTCATAAGCACTCAGAGATACTATAATTTTCAATGCCAGTGAAAAAGAACAAGAACCCACCAATTAATTATCATAATATAATCAAATAACACCATTAAATTCAAACAACAATAATAGCGATCTATGGTTTCATAGCATAAAAAAAGAACATGATTAAGATGCCACTATAACAGAACATTACTATTAAATTTCCACTACAGAACCAAAAAAATAATTACCCACTTTGACAAAAGCACACGCAAAAATCTAATCCCAGACAAATAATTCCAAGCCACCCTCCACAGAATTTATTTTTTTTTAAATAACAGCAAAGAAACCCAGAAATTAATCAAACAGAAAAGGAGAAAAGATAAGAAAACTGACCTTTCTCAAAGAGAAATCTCCAAATCAAGGTAGAAATCTTTACTTGTACTGAACACCCATTACTCGATTTTATCACACCACAGAATTTGAATCAAAATCGCTTCTTTCTTAATTAATTTTCTTAATAATGTCTCAGTAAATGAAGCAATCACTTTCAAATCTTGATTATAAATCGAGCAAAAGAAAGAGACAAGCCGACGCGTTGAAAGATAATTCGCGGTCAAACAGATATAAATTTAAACGAAAGGGTCAAAATCGATTGAAATTTAGCAAATTTAGACACGCAAAGAAGTTAAATAAATTAAAACAGATCGTCCAAAAGATTAAAATGGGATTTGGTTTGTTGATAAATCAAAAAGCATATAATAATAATTAAAGAAAATGATCGATTGCTTTAAAAAAAGAAAGAAATAAAAGAAGAGAGACATTAATGATTGATAATTATTTTAATATTATTTTATTTAGAAGAAACAAAGAAAGGTGGGTTTGGTTTATCTGTGTCGTTTCATGTACTTACGCGCGCAATACCGATCGTGTTCGCGTATTTGGCGCTAAAAAGATACGGTATGTTTTTAATGGTAGAAATTTGCTATTGTCACACATGTTTTTGCTGCTTCCAGATTCGGTGTCAACGTTTGGTTTCGTGGAGTCGGGGGAGAAGTCAAAAAAATTGGAGTGCAGATAGGGAGAGTTTTTGTTTTATCTTTTCAACGCTGAAGTATCGAAAAGTACTTGGAATTTGTATTATGGTGAGAAATGATTGGCCTACGCTTAGCATGAGAATAAACAGGTGCACGTGTTTTGCATGTGAATTGGGCGTTCCTTTATTAGGGTTTGACGCAACTGGTAGGCTAATCATAAATGGGTGAAACCTTAAACTAGGCCTAGGCCTAGGCTGTAGGCCCAATGCAATCGTTCCGGGTAATTTGGGTTAGTTAAGCCTGCCTGCGATAGTCGAATTCGAACCGGTGCAGATAGGAATTGTGTGCTAAGATCGGATCAGAGTAGTCCTAGAGTTTCAATTTTGAACCGGATAAGAAGCGAGCGGATGGGACCTAGTTTCGGTTCGAAATACAGTTAAAAACTGAAATCAGATTTTCACTAGGAAAAAAAAAAAAAAAAAAAGAGTAGTCCTAGAGCTTTTCAATTTTGAACCGTGATAAGAAGCGAGCGGATGGGACCTAGTTTCGGTTCGAAATACATAAAAACTGAAATCAGATTTTTCACTAGGAAAAAAAACAAAAAAAAACTGCTTACCAAAAAAAAAAAAAAAAAAAAAAACTGCTTACCAAAATCTGGAGCCGGAGCCAAACCGAAAATTGACGGTTCCGGTTACGATTTAGAAAGAACGATTATGATTTTGATTTCGATTCCTTAAAAGTTCTAAAATCGATTGTTCTAACCGGTTCTCAGACTGATTTTTCAGCGAATTAGATAATTATAAAATCAAAAATTAGAAAATTTTTTTAAAAAAAAATTTAAAATTGAAATATTTACAAAATAATTTTGGAAAAAACTTTAAGAAAAATTAAAAAAAAGACTTGAACTTAATATACTTGTTTTAAAAAAAGATTGAACTTTTTATTTAAAAAAAAGGGGGGGGTTTGAACTTAATTTATTTTTTTAAATGACAAGGGGTATTAATAGTAAGTCCAAAAAATCTACTTTTCACAAATATCCTTAAAATTAGCTGTTATATAGTTGTTAAGAGAGTTAATTTGGAGATTTCACAAAAATATTTGAAAAAATTAAAAAAAATTACTGGAACCTGTGGAATCGCCGGTTCTAACTCGTGTTGGTGATATGCTAAAAAGAAGCAAATGAACTTAAAAGCAAGAATGAAAGCTAAGAAAGGTCCCCCTCTCGGGATAGGTGGGCTCATCCTGACCACACTTCGCCGGCATACTATCTCTATCTATTCTATGGTGTATGACCAGGGTCTCCTATGACTACCAATTGAACGGGTCAATCAAAGGCTTTATCAAAAGTAGACATCTTTTTAATTTAAATAGAAAATGGCGATAAAGGATTTTTTTTTTTTTTTTTGAAAAAAAAGGGGTGTGGGAGTTTCCTATATAAGTATACCTAAGGGTGGCCATATTACGGTTTTGAGAACCGAAAACGTCGATTCGAACCGATCTCAAACTGAAATCGAAACCGGAATCGGAGATTTCTGTTTCGATTCTGGTTTCAGATTTGTGGAACCGCAAACCGGCAGTTCCACAAAATCGGTCGGAACCGGATTGGAACCGCCGGTTTTCCGGCCGGTTAGAATCGGCCGTTCTAGCCGTTAGAAACTGTTAGTTTTGTTTTTTTTTTTAAATTTTATTGTGAAATCTCTTAATTACCCATCCCAGTAGTCATAAACGGCTACATAATGGCTAGTTTCAAGGGTATTTTTGGAAAAATAATTTTTTGGATTTATTATAAATACCTCATTTCATTTACAAATTCATCACATTCATCACAAAAAAATCCTCTACTCTCTCTTACCTCTACCTCTCTCTAACCACACTACTACACTCTATTTTTATCATTATCTCTTCTTCTATAACAGCTCTAACTAATCTCTCTTATTAAGTTATTTATTCTTCTAATTTTTTTTATTCTTTTTTCAAATTATATCTTATTATCATATAATGGCAGTGAGAAAAACTCCAAAAATCTCGAGTAACGGCAAGGGAAAGATTGGAGAAACACAATATTCATCTATCCCTAAACGACATCTTTGATTTCACTCTCCAACCCATTTAATTTTGAGGGATATCCAAATGAAAATTTGGAAATTCAACTTAAGAATTGAATTAATAATGGCAATTACAAAGAAGAGGAAGAGCAAGAGCAAGAGCAACGAGCACAAATTGTTGAAGAGCAAGACAAAGTTCTGACATATTTTGTCATTCCATTTCACGAAAAAATTCAAGGTGAGAAAATGTACGATGTAATTCTTGCATATTATTGTAAAAATCTTATAAATTTAAAACCAAATCGGGTCGGCTATGGATCATTTTGGAACATTTGGAGACAAAACAATCCAACAAAATAAGAGGTTCGATCCGGTCTCAAACACAAATTTCCGGGTAACGCATCTTCTAGGACCTTCTCTTTATTTTCAATATTCTGAAAAATACAAAAAAGAAGAATTAAGCAAAAATGATTTACTTCTGATGGAACATTTATCCTTAGTTTTGGTGAAAAAGTAGATTTTAATAATTATTGTCAAAAAAGCTTTAAATCCTTCTGCTAAAAGAAGTGTCAAGAAATACTGTAAAACGAACAATCTATTTCTTTATATAATAAGGAAAAAAAGAGTTAAGAGTTTTTATTTTCTAAATAAAAATTCGTGTTTCAAATTGTTTTGATATTTGGAGTGATCATTGGCAAATACATTCTTATAGCTGGGCATTAACAAACATGTCAATTGATTGATGATGATTGGAAAATTCAAAAAAAAATTAATTGCATTTCGTGTTTTTGATGATAAACATACTTGCAAATAATATTTATAGAATAATTGCTTCAATTTTAGATGATATAAGTTACAAACAACTTTTTTCAATTTCATTTGATAAGCTTCGCTAATACTAAATCAATTATTGAACCTTAAACATATTTGTGACACCAAATACTGCTGGAAATTTTTCATCATACAGCATGTGCGCATGCCATGTTTTAAATTTTTGTTGTTACAAGATGGTTTAAAATTCTTGAATCTTTATTCTCCAATTAAAAATAGTTATCTTCATATTTATCGGGGACATCCCAAAGTGGATGAAAAAGTTGGGCTAAATTTTGGTAAGGAAACTAATAAAAGACCAAAAAACGTTTTTTCAAGGATGTCCCATACAGTCGGTTGGAATTCAACATTGAAATTACTAAACGAGTCTTTTTCTTATAAAGAATATTATGCTTTTTTGTTACTAAAATATTGAAGATACTTAATTTATATCCACCACACAATTGGGGCCAAATATTTGTGCAAAAATTTTAGATATTCTTAAAAATTTTTAATGATGCTACCTAAAATTTAGTGGGGTTTATTATCCCACATCCTCATTTATTTTACCTATGGTGGTATTAATATTGTTAGTGCACTCCAAAGAATTCTTGGAAAATGATTTGTATATTAAAAGATTGTATATTTTCAATGAAAAAAAAAAAATGGTTATCTATTTAAAAATATTAAACCCCCCTATATCTTGTTTGCTATTGTAATTTGGATCCTAGATGTAAAATTGAGTTTTATGTAATATTTGACTTTTATTATGAATATTAAATCTTGATATGGAGATAATGTTAATATAGAATGTGTATTGGCATGAAGCTAAGCAAATATTATGGCAATTATATATGAATTTGTTCAATTTTCTAGTTCATCTACTTCCCTATTCTTCTCATCTTAATATTCAACATTTCCACAAAAGGGTAAGGGGTGTTGGGTTGTTGCTGAAACAGGTTTTTATTACAAAGACAAAAAAAGACCAAGGGAAATCCCGTTCTTTTTCTGAATTTGATAATTATCTAACACTTCTTTTGAAATTGGTTGATGGAATTATAGCAGATACTAAATTTTCAATTTTAAATTGGTGGATCCCGTCAAGCCAATACTTGCAAATACTTTCTTTAACTTGCAAAACAAGTCTTTAGCAGGCTCTGGTCCCACTGTTGGCGTTGAACAAGCTTTTAGTCAAGGAGGAAACATACCTTGATGAAACATCGATCTTTGTATGACACCCGATTAATTTAGAAGCAAAATCATGCGTGATGATTGGAGCAAGGCCGAACTAAGACCGCACAAGAAAATTTAAAAGAAAATGAAGATTTTATATGATTTATACGATGGGTCCTAACGGGAACATCAACCGGTGGTGCAAAATAGCGACTAAGGTAAAAGGGGTAAAATTGGTATACCAGGAAGTAACGAACTACGTAGCCTTTGATTCCCTCTAACCCAAGAAGGATCCGTTAGGCAAACTTAAATTTTTTTTTTGTAACAAAAAAAATTAAGTCTTATAGCCCTTTTTTTTTTAAAATTATGTTCAAACTTTTCTTAAACAAAAAATAAATTCACGTTGAAGAATTTTTTTAAAAAAAATAATTAATTCAAGTCTTTAAAAAAAATAAAATTAATTGAAGCATTTTTTTACATTCTTTTAGGTGTATTTTTTTTTACCAAAATAACTCTTCAACAAATTTATATTAAAACTTTAAAAACACCGGTCTTCCAAAATTCTTAAATTTAAAACTAAAATTATGCGATTTGCCGGAAAACCGGTCGGAAAACTGATCAGAATTGTCGGTTTTGACACCGTATCGGAACCGTTCGGTTCCAAATTGGAACCGGAACCGAAAATTTTCGGTTCAATTTCGGTTCCAATTTTTGTGGAACCGGAACCGCCGATTCCGGAACCATGGCCACCCCTGAGTATACCGGCTATCAATTTCAGCCAATTCACGGTTCGTCGAAAGTTGAAATTAAA